TGTTATGGAGGTGAGCACCACACCCCAGAGTTGGACACGACTGGACTTCATGTCAGGGGAAAATCTTTACCTTTACTATACCCCAGCGAGGATCAACTCTTGACTGGACACAAAGGCTCCATCTACACTGCCATATAAAATCCAGACGGTAGGTTGTGGTGAGTTTTCCGGGCTGTATGGCCATGTTCCAGAAGCATTTTCTCCTGACGTTTCATCCTCATCTATGGCAGGCATCCTCAGAGGTTGAGGGGTCTGTTGGAAACTAGGCAAATGAGGTTTATATATCTGTGGAATGTCCAGGGTGGGAGAAAGAACTCTTGTCTGTTGGAGGCAAGTGTGAATTTTGTAACTTGCCACCTTGATTATCATTAAATGACCTTGCAGCTTCAAAGCCTGTCTGCTTCCTGTCTGGGGAATCCTTTGTTGAGAGGTGTTAACTGGCCCTGATTGATTCTTGACTGGATTTCCCCTCTTTTTTAGTGTTGTTGTTTATTTTTTGTTCTGATTTTAGAGTTTTAAAATACTGGTAGTCCTGGCAGCACAGTGGGTTAAACTGCTGAACTTACTGGCCGAAAGGTTGGCGGTTTGAATCCAGGGAGCAGGGTGAGCTCTCACTGTTAGGCCCAGCTTCTGCCAACCTGGCAGTTTAAAATCATGCAAATGTGAATAGATAAATAGGTACCATTTCTGTAGGGAGGTAACAGCGCTCCGTGCAGTTATGCTGGCCACGTGACCTTGGAGGTGTCTACAGACAACGCTGGCTCTTCAGCTTAGGAATGGAGATGAGCACCACCCCCCAGAGTCAGACATGACTAGACTTAATGTCAGAGGAAACCTTTACCTTTAATACTGATAACCAGATTTTGTTGATTTTCATGGCTTCCTCCTTTCTGTTGAAATTGTCCACATGCTTGTGGATTTCAGTTGCTTTTCTGTGTAGCCTGACATGGTGATGGGTTTCTACAACTGCAGCAAATGCACATTGTTGGTCCTCTTGGAAGAGAAGGTCCAGCAGGTTGAGATCTTTGTATCTCTTCTTTGGCATATTAAGAACCATGAGATTTTCTTGGACAGAGAACTGGGAAAAAACTAACAAAATTAATTTCAACACAGAGAAATGTAATACAGAAAAAAACCCAAAATTAATAGATACAGGATGAGTGACACCTAGCTTAACAACAGTAGATGTGAATGAGATCTAGCAGTCTCAGTAAGCCATAAGCTGAATATGATTACATAGTATGATGTGACAGCTAAAAAAAGCCAATAAATTCAAGACTGTAACAATAGAAATATGTATAGAGCAAGGGAAATAATAGTAGCACTCTATTCTGCTTTGGTCAGATATTAATAAGCTGGAAAATATCCAGTGGCAGATAACCATAATGGTACAACTTATGGATGCCAAGCCCTATTAGGAGCAGCTTAGAGAGCTGGGTATATTTAGCCTGCAGAAGAGAAGGCCACAACATATTAGCCATGTTTAAATATTTCATGGAATCAGAGTTGAAAGAGGTCAGAAGGCCTATCAAGTTCAACTCCCCTGCCATTCAGAAAAAACACAATCAAAGCACTCTCGATAGCTATCCAGCCTCTGCTTAAAAGTCTCCAGAGAAGGAGACTCTACCATGCTCTGCAACAGCATATTCCACTGTAATGTTGAAGGTTTTCACAGCCGGAATCACTGGGACATTGTGCGGTTTCTGGGCTATATGGCTGTGTTCTAGCAGCAATTTCTCCAGATGTTTTGCCTGCATTTGTGGCTGGCATCTTCAGATAATCTGATAGTAGTAAAGCACTATCCTGTGGAATGTACTCTGAGGATACCAGCCACAGATGCAGGTGAAAATGTCAGGAGAAAACGCTGCTAGAACACGGCCATACAGCCCGGAAAGCACACAACACCCCAATATATATGTGTGTGTGTTATGGCGACAATTTTTATTTTGTTCTGTTAATCTTATGGTTATGTTGTTTTTTACTTTGTATGTTTTGTAATGTTATCTGGGAACTGCTCTGAGTTCCCTAGGGGAGATGGAGAGGTATATAAATAAATAAATTATTATTATTATTATTATTATTATTATTATTATTAAAAGCGCATTGCAGAAGTCCAATCTTGAAGTTACCAGTGCATGCACTACCATCTTCAGGTCCTTCAAATCTAGGAAGGGGCACAGCTGGCAGATCGGCAGAAGCTGATAGTAAGCACTCCTGACAGTTGCATCTTCCTGGGCTGACATTTGGAGAGATGGATCCAGGAGCACCCCCAAGCTGCAAACACAGTCTTTCAGAGGGAGCGTAACCCCATTTAGAATTGGTTGACACACTCCCAGAATGGGGCAAGTGGGGTGTATATATATCTGTGGCATGTCCAGAGTAGAGGAAATAACTCTTTGTCTGTTTGAGGCAAGTGTGAATGTTACACTTAGCCAGCTTGATTATCAATTGAGTAGCTTTGCAACTCCAAAGCCTGGCTGTTGTGCCTGGAGGCATCCTTTGAGAGGTCTGAACTGGCACCTGTCCAGCCTCAGAGAGTTCAACATTGGAACTCTCTGCTTCGGAGTGTGGTGGAAGCGCCTTTCTTGGAAATGTTTAAACAGAGGCTGAATGTTGGGAATCAGCCTGTGTTTGTGTGTTCAGGATCCTGATGTGGGAAATGATGGTGCTGAGGTACAAGATGGAGATGGTTTGGCCAATGATTTTCAGGCAGACAATGACAGAGAGGCCCCAGTGCAAAGGGCAGTTTCTCATGAGAATATCCCTGGGCCTAGCAATGATAATTAACTCCCTCTCTCTGTGAGCTCTCAAGATTTGGGTTTGGAAAACAATCTGACACCTGGGAATTTTAATAAGCAGCCAGAGCAGCCAGATAAGGAGATGAAGAATAGACGGCTGGAGATTAGCCAGGATCAGCAACAATCTCAATATTTATGTCGCTCCGAAAGGCTGTGTCTGATAAAGGGAAAATGTGGAGGGAAACGAAACCAATTTCTGAGTTTTGGGATATAAAGTTTGCTTCAAGGGAAAACCTGTCAGATCAGGCATTGTTTGGAAACCAAGTTCTTGTGCCATGGAAGTTTTGTTCAAAGGATCTTGTGTCTGTTGAGTTTTTTAGTCTTTTGGATTGCCTTTGCATCCTGCTTGATTCCTGTCTGGATAAATGCTGTCTTGGGTTGTCTGTATTTCTTATGTGGACATTGCTTTGGGTTACTACTGTTTAAGGACTAATACTTTTTGGACCAATCTTGATAAAATAGTGAAGAGTAGAGACATCACACTGGCACCAAAGATCCGCATAGTTAAAGCAATGGTATTCCCCATAGTCACCTACAGATGGGAGAGCTGGGCCTTAGAGAAGGCTGAGCGAAGGAAGATAGATGCTTTTGAACTGTGGTGTTGGAGGAAAGTGCTGAGAGTGCCTTGGACTGCGAGAAGATCCAACCAGTCCATCCTCCAGGAAATAAAGCCCGACAGCTCGTTGGAGGGAAGGATAGTAGAGGCCAAGATGAAGTACTTTGGCCACATCATGAGAAGAAAGGGAAGCTTAGAGAAGACAATGATGCTGGGGAAAATGGAAGGAAAAAGGAAGAGGGGCCGACCAAGGACAAGATGAATGGATGGATGGCATCCTTGAAGTGACTGGACTGACCTTGAAGGAGCTGGGGGTAGTGATGACCGACAGGGAGCTCTGGTGTGGACTGGTCCATGAAGTCACAAAGAGTCGGAAACGACTTAACAAATGAACAACAAACAAAACTTTTTGGAACCTTCTGATTTTCTTACAAACATTTATTTCTTCTGGCTATTTACTAAGCTTCAATAAAAGAAGATTTGATTCTTCACTCTTCGTGTGGTGTGTTTTAAGTCAGAGGGCTTCTGCTGGACCTGGAGTGCAACACTGGGTGACCATCTGTCAGGGTTTTTGTTGTTGTTGTTGTTGTGTCAGGGCAACCAGTCTATTACATTACACTTCTAACAGAACAAAGCAAACAAACGGGCAAAATACAAAATTTGTGAGTTTGGTAGTTGATTGAATGTCCTTTGACCAGTAGCTGGCCACTTGGAATGCTTCTGGTGTTGCTGCAAGAAGGTCCTCCATCGTGCATGTGGCAGGGCTCAGGTTGCATTGCAGCAGGTGGTCAGTGGTTTGCTCTTCTCCACATTCGCATGTTGTGGATTCCACTTTGTAGCCCCATTTCTTGAGGTTGGCTCTGCATCTTGTGGTGCCAGAGCGCAGTCTGTTCACTGCCTTCCAAGTCGCCCAGTCTTCTGTGTGCCCAAGAGGGAGTCTCTCATCTGGTATCACCCACGGATTGAGGTGCTGGGTTTGGGCCTGCCACTTTTGGACTCTCGCTTGCTGAGGTGTTCCAGCGAGTGTCTCTGTAGATCTAAGAAAACTATTTCTTTATTTAAGTCGTTGACGAAAGCTGACTAAGAAAATTTAAGTCGTTTATGAAAGCTGACTGGCACAACCTGGGGATCACAACCAGATACAGTGAAGACATCTGCCCTTGCACTATGCTACTCTGCTGCTGAGTACGCATGCCCAGTGTGGAACACATCTCACCACACTAAAACAGTGGATGTGGCCCTTAAGGAGACATGCCACATTATTACGTGGTGTCTGAGCCCCACACCACTGGAGAAATTACACTGCTTAGCCGGTATTGCACCACCTGACATCCGCCGGGAAGTTGCAGCCAGTAGTGAAAGGACCAAGGCAGAGACATCTCCAGCTCATCCCTTGTTTGGGTATCAGCTAGCACATCTGTCAGGGGTACTTTGATCGAACTTCTCCTGCATGGCAAAGGGTTGGAGTAGATGGCCCTTGAGGTCTCTTCCAACTCTGGGATTCCCCTTCTTGCCTGAAGCAATTGGCAGCTCTTGGGGTTTCCCTTCCCTCTTGTGCCATGATCCTTTGCCTGGGACAGGATGGGAAGGGCTTTCTGATTGGCTGCCTCTCCCTTGAGGAGGCGTTTCCCGCCACAAAAGAGGCGTGGCCAAAGCAGGCCTGGCCGAAGGAGGAGGAAGTGGTGGCGCGTGAGAGAAGGAAGAGAAGCGGCGGCTCGAGGAGGATGCGGGGGCCTCCCTGGCACGATGGCCGGCCGCGCACTGAGGTAAGTAGGCGATGATAGGCAGGGCAGGGCTTGCCTTGGGGGCTGGGAAGCTCCTCTTTTCCTTCCGAGGGCAGTCAGTGCCGCAGCGCCATGCTTCCCCTTGAACTGCCTAGTAGGCAGGGGCAAACTTCGGCCCTCTAGGAGTTTTGGACTCCAATTCCCACAATTCCTAACACGTAGTTAACTGACGGGGGTTTCTGGGAGTTGAAGTCCAAAACGCCTGAAGGGCCGAAGTGTGCGCATGCGTGAATGGAGTCCTGGGGTTTGCAGCTGGGATGTTTCGCCCGAGTTCTTGTGGCTCGCTCAAACTGCATGGGAGGCCCCGAGGGCAGGGGAAGTGGAGGACTCCATTGATTTTCGGTTCCGTTTCCGATTCTTCTCCGTTTCTCGCTCTGGGGGACATTCCCAGTCGAGCCCCGGAGTTCAGCAAGGGCGGGGGTTTCGGGGACTTCCAAAGGAAGAGAGGCCTCCCCGGAAGTGACGCTCCTCGGCTGCTATTGGCCGCCGGTCTCTGCAGGTGGGCCCAGAACACAGATCTTGGAGTTCACCCACAGACCCAGGCCCCTCCCACGCAGCTGTATAATCTATCTGGCTGTCTATCTATCTATCTATCTATCTTATCTATCTTATCTATCTATCTACCAATGCTCTGTGCATAATGAGTACCTTAAAAACAAAAGAACCAATGGACTAAATCACACCAAATTTGGCAACAAAACGTCTCACAACACAAGGAGTGACCATCACTCAAAATTTATGATTTTGTCATTTGGGAGTTGTAGTTGCTGGGATTTATAGTTCACCTATAATTAAAGAGCATTCTGAACTCCACCAACAATGGAATTGAACTAAACCCGGCACACAGGACTCCCATGACCAACAGAAAATACCAGAAGGGTTTGGTGGGCATTGACCTTGAGTTTTGGAATTGTAGTTCACCTACATCTAGAGAGCACTGTGGACTCAAACATGATGGATCTGGACCAAACTTGGCACAAATACTCAATATGCCCAAATATAAACACAGATGGAGTTTGGGGGAAATAGACCTTGACATTTGGGAGTTGTAGTTACTGGGATTTATAGTTCACCTACAATCAAGGAGCATTCTGAACCCCACCAACAATGGAATTGGGCCAAACATCCCACACAGAACCCCCATGACCAACAGAAAATACTGTGTTCTATGGTAACCCTTCTGACACCCCCTCACACCCCCCCCCCCTGGGGTCCCAAACCCCAGGTTGAGAAATGCTGCCTTAAGTCCATCCAGTCCAACTCCCTTCACCAGGGCAAGAAAACATAAAGCCCTTCTGACAAAGAGCCATCCAGCCATTCTCTCACACACACACACATGTATATGACAGATGAAGTATCATAGATTTGAAAGGGACCCCTAAGAAGGACAATGATATGTTGCATGTTCCAGAGTAGGCAAACCAGACCTCTCCACATCAACACGGACAAAGAAACAGCAAGAAATACTGTTTACCCACAAGCAGAAAGAAATTACATATATTAGAAACCAACACTTTCTCATTACTTTATTTTCCAGATCACCAGACTGGGCCACAGCAACGCGTGGCAGGGGATGGCTAGTAATAATATAAATGCTCTGTGCATAATGAGTACCTTAAAAACAAAAGAACCAATGAACAAAATCACACAAAATTTGGCAGCAAAACGTCTCACAACACAAGGAGTGACCATCACTCAAAAAATTATGATTTTGTCATTTGGGAGTTGTAGTTGCTATGATTTATAGTTCACCTACAATCAAAGAGCATTCTGAACTCCATCAACAATGGAATTGAATCATAGAATCATAGAGTTGGAGGAGACCTCATGGGCCATCCAGTCCAACCCCCTGCCTAGAAGCAGGAAAATCGCATTCAAAGCACCCCTGACAGATGGCCATCCAGCTTCTGTTTAGACTCTTCCAAAGAAGGAGCCTCTACCACACGCAGAACTCCCATGACCAACAGAAAATACTGGAAGGGTTTGGTGGGCACTGACCTTGAGTTTGGGAGTTGTAGTTCACCTACATCCAGAGAGCACTGTGAATTCAAACAATGATGGATCTGGACCAAACTTGGCACAAGCACTCAATACACCCAAAGCATAAAGAAATTACATATATTAGAAACCAACACTTTCTCATTACTTTATTTTCCAGATCACCAGACTGGGCCACAGCAATGCGTGGCAGAGGACCGCTAGTACAGAATATCAAGGCAGATAATCCACTATATCTGCTTTGAACTGGATTATCCGAGTCCACACTGCCATATAATCCAGCTCAATGTAGATTTTATACAGCTGTGTGGAAGGACCCACTCTGGACCCACCCACACTGCCATATAAAATCCTGATTATCTGCTTTGAACTGGATTATGTGGCAGCGTAGACTCATATAAACCAGTTCAAAGCAGTTAATCTTTGAACAAATGCTAAAACAATTTCTAAATGCTAAAACAAGTACTGATCAGTCTGTAGCACAAAAGCTGTTGCTATGTGACATTTCAGTACTTTGTGATGTCACTGGATTGGCTGTTGCTGAGTGAAGTGACCCTCTGTGATGTCACTAGGAAATAATGGTGACACATGTGTGAGGGGAAGCGAAGGAAGGAAAGAGCCATGTTGCCACGGAGACATTGTGAGGCCCTCTGAGCTGGAGAAGGGAGAAAGGGAAGAGAAGGAAAAGGAAGTGAAGGAGGGGAGGGGAGAAAGAAAAAGGAGGGAAGGAAGGAAAGAGAGAAAAAGGGATGAAGGGAACAAAAGATTAAGAATGTGTTATTGACAAGCTGGAATGTGTCCAGAGGAGGGCGACTAAAATGATCTGGAGAACAAGCCCTATGAGGAGCGGCTTAAGGAGCTGGGCATGTTTAGAGAAGGCTGAGAGGAAATATGATAGCCATGTATAAATATGTGAGAGGAAGCCACAGGGAGGAGGGAGCAAGCTTGTTTTCTGCTTCCCTGGAGACTAGGACGCAGAACAATGGCTTCAAACTACAAGAGAGGAGATTCCATCTGAACATGAGGAAGAACTTCCTGACTGTGAGAGCCGTTTAGCAGTGGAACTCTCTGCCCCAGAGCGTGGTGGAGGCTCCTTCTTTGGAAACTTTTAAACAGAGGCTGGATGGCCATCTGTCAGGGGTGATTTGAATGCAATATTCCTGCTTCTTGGCAGGGGGTTGGACTGGATGGCCCATGAGGTCTCTTCCAACTCTATGATTCTATGATTCTATGAACGATGAAAGCATGGGGCAGTATTAAATATTTTTAAAATGCTAAAACAATTGCAGTGAAAGAAAATATACTAGAGGTTTTAAGTCAGTAATAATCTAAGTCAGTAATATATTAGCATGGTAAGTTCCACTTGTCAGGTTGTCAGGTTCCACTGCTCAAGCCTCCTTCCTCCTTAGCACACATTTCATTTGAGATGGTGGGAGCGCTAACAGAAGGTTTTCTTAAGTCAAGCCCATGCAAACACATTCATCCTGGTATCCATGAGCCACATGCACTTTGAATTTAGCAGCAGAGGACTTTAAACTGCAAAGATGTGTTTGCAGTATCTGATTTTGTGAATTTCCAGGCAGTCTTTAGAGACAGTCCCATGCACGGTGTGTTATAGTAATGTGTAAAGCTGATAATGATATCGTTAGCTGTGTATATATCAAGACTATTTCCTCTTCCTTATTAGACAAGACATTGCCAATAAGCAGATTGTATACATTAATGAAATTATCTCTCTGATGTGAAATGTTTCCTTTAAATTTCAGAACAATGACATTAGAAGAAGAGACATCTTGGTCTGTCCCAATGAAGGCTATTGGGTCGCAGAACCTACTGACCATGCCTGGAGGTGTCACCAAGTCGGGATACCTGCACAAAAAAGGAGGAACACAGTTCCAGCTCTTAAAGTGTGAGTTGGGAAGAAGCATAAGAATTTGCCACAGGTCATTCTGAGCTGTAGATAAACCATTATAATAATCACTCCAAATCCACTAGGGTTAGGAGCATAGGTCCCCCATGAAAGTGGGAAAAAACACATTCTTTTAAAAAATCATTAAAAAACTTTTTGAGGAATTTCTAGTTTCTCTAGCTGGATACGGTCTCTTGGGTTCTTTGCTCAGGCCCCCCTCTCTCTCACCATCCTACCCTTTCTCTCTTTCTGCCCTCCTCCCTTCCCTCCCTCCCTTATCTCCATCTTTCTCCTTCCATCCTCCATTCCCTTCCACTCTTTTGTCTTTCCTTCCTTCTCTCTTTCCTCACTCCCTCTTTCTCTCCCTCCCTTTCTTACCTCCCTCTTTCACCCTTCCTTCCTTTCCTCTTTCTTCCCTCCCTCCCTTTCTTACCTTCCTCTTTCTCTTTCCATACTTCCTTCCGTTCCACCCTTTGGTCCTTCCTTCCCTCTTTCCTTCCTCCTTCCCTTCTTTCCCTCTCTTTCTCCTTCCATCCTTCGTTCCCTTCCACCCTTTCATCCTTCCTCCCCTCCCTTTCTTCTCTCCCTCTTTCTCCTTCCTTCTTCTTCTTCCTTCCCTCTTTTGTCTTTTCCTTCTCTCTTTCCTCCCTCTCCTCTTTCTCTCCCTCCCTTTCTCCTCCCCCTTTCACCCTTCCTTCTTTCCTTTCCTCTTTTTCCCCCTCCCTCCCTTTCTTACCTTTCTCTTTCTCTTTCCATCTCTTCCTTCCACCCTTGTCCTTCCTTCCCTCTTTCCTTCCTCCTTCCCTTCTTTCACTCTCTTTCTCCTTCCATCCTTCCTTCCCTTCCACTTTTTCGTCCTTCCTTCCCTCTTCCCTCCCTCCTTCCCTCCCTTTCTTCTCTCCCTCTTTCTCCTTCCATTCTTTCTTCCCTTCCACCCTTTTGTCCACCCCGTCATCTCATCCTGACCAAGGCTAACCCTTTTGGGATCCAAACATTTTCCGTCTTTCCTTCACCTTCTGCCTCTGAAAGAGAAGAGGAAGGGGAGAAAAGGGCAGGGAGGGAGCATGGGGAGAACCCCTTCCCTCCCAGCTCACGCACCCACCCTGCTCCAGCCCACCATGCGGCCCTCGAATTAGAAAGTTTGCCCATGCCTGCTCTAGCACGACTCTGCACTCAGCCTCTGCTGGACATTGACCACAGACTTGCATTGGAGTACGTAGATATGTGTTTTCTTTAGCAGTCTCTAGGTTCTCTAGTGTAATGTAAATATCTCATATGCAGGATGTATTTTCATTCACCTGACCAAATTTGGCACAAATACCTGATACACCCAAATTTGAATATTGGTGGGGTTGGGTGGTGGCGGCTTGATTTTGTCATTTGGGAGTTGTGGTTGCTGGGATTTGTAATTCACCTGCAATCAAAGTGCATTCTGAACTCTATCAACGATGTAATTGAAACAAACTTGGCACACAGAACAGCCATGGCCAACAGAAAATACTGGAAGGGTTTGGTGGACATTGACCTTGAGTTTTGGAGTTGTAGTTCCTACATCCAGAGAGCACTGTGGACTCAAACAATGATGGATCTGGACCAAACTTGGCACGAATATGCAATATGCCGAAATGTGAACACCGGTGGAGTTTGGGGAAAATACTCCTTGACATTTTGAGAGTTGTAGTTGCTGGGATTTGTAGTTCACCTACAATCAAAGAGCATTCTGAACCCCACCAATGACAGAATTGGGCCAAACTTCCCACATAGAACCCCCATGACCAACAGAAAATGCTGTGTTTTCTAGTGGCCTTTAGTGACCCCTCTGACACACCTTCATGACCCCTCCAGGGGTCCCAACCCCCAGGCTGAGAACCACTGGTCTACATATGGTATATGTTTAAAGTATTTGGAATGCTGCGGACTGCTGTCATCTCTGATCATAGACATTTAGGAATGTTTTAGAGCTGTAGTTCTTGTCTTCATTGAGAGCTTTTTGTTTATGTGTGTCAACTTTTCTCATGTCCTTTTCCCTCCTCTTTTCTCCCCCTCCATTGCCCTTCAGGGCCACTTAGGTTTGTAATTATCCACAAGGGCTGTGTTTACTACTTTAAGAGTAGTACATCTTCATCTCCTCAGGGTGCTTTTTCATTGAAGGGCTATAACAGGTGAGTGAAACTTGAGGTAATTGCATTATTTGTATGTTATTGGTTATATTTTCCCCATGGAGTGCTAATGTACATAGGAGGTCCTCTTCAAGATAAATGCTGTTTAACAGCTGAGCCTAAGAAATAGTGACTGGGCCAAAGTCACCTAGTGAACTTCCTGATAGAATAAATATTTGAACTTTGGTCTTTTTTATCTTAGTCCAATATTCTCCACTGCTACCACAAGCAGGTTATTGGGCTTGTGAAACTTTCCACCTTATTTAAGGTTATTTATTTAAAGCATTTTTGCATCACCTCCCAGCAAACAAGAGCTCTCAAAAAAACCCAGTTAAAACAATAAAAAGATAAAAAAATACTTTAAATATAATTAAAACACTATTTAAGATCTCCTAAAAAACTCCAAAATAATTTTGGTGTCCAGTTTTGTAATAGCACCAAATGCCAAACAGCTGAGAAAGCCCTATCAAGTGTACCAAATATCTAGATTCATGAGGTGTTGGGAAATATTTGGGTATTTCAAATTTCTGACAGATATACGAAGAGGCGGTCTTTCAGATATCTTGGCCCCAAGTTGTTTAGGGCTTTTTGTGTCCACATCAACAGCTTCAATTGTTATTATTATTATTATTATAAAAATTGAGCTCAGACACAAATTGGAGGACAACGTAGTTTTTGGAAGACTACTGTCATATGGTCTCTGAAATGCAAACCTGCTATCAGACATTTTGCATTTCCTATAACTTATGAATAGTTTTCAAAGGTAGCTCACATTTCAGTAGTCTAATTAAGAGGTAAATCAGGGATAAACCACTCTGGTAAGATCTGCCCCCCTCCCCCAAATAGTGAGGCTGGACAAAGGGGCTTCTGGCCACTGCATCAACCTTACCTTCCAGTGGTATCATTGGAATTAAGGGCGTTTCCACACATTTGAATAAAATCCTACATTATCTTCTTTGAACTGGAATATATGGCAGTGTGGACTCGGATAACCCAGTTCAAAGCAAATATTGTGGAATTTTCTGCCTTGATATTCTGGGTTTTACAACTGTGTGGAAGGGTCCTAAGAGCTACAAACCTGACCTTGTGATCCTAATCTTAGGTTGGTTTTCGTACTGACCAGCAACATTTCTGTCTTCTCTGGATCTGTCATCTGCACACAGTTCTTTAATGAATCCACACAATGATTCAGTACTACCATTGGCATCAGTTGTAAAAGAGAGATAGTGATGACACCCAGCTCCTAATATGACTTCTCCCAGCTGCTTGGGTGTTAAAAAGCATTGCAGACTGTACCTGAAATCTATAATTTACCAGGATGGACATGAATCTAACAGTCAGGTGCTTGACCTGAAATTTATCAATCAAACTGTCTTTTGGAAAATGATTTTGCTATCTTTATAAATAACACAATTTAAGTTTTAAAAAATTTATGTCATTACTGTGCAGGGTTATGCGGGCAGCAGAAGAGACAACATCAAATAATGTCTTCCCTTTCAAGTTGGTGCACATTAGCAAGAAGCATAGGACCTGGTTTTTTTCTGCCTCCTCCGAAGATGAAAGAAAGGTGAAATAATATTTATGATTCTAATAACATATTTAAATGGACATGGCATTTGAAAAGAGTTTGGAGCTTAAGCCATATCAGTTGCAATGAAATCATAGCTTGCATTTTGAAGAGCTGATTAATTCTTCCTTGGAGGATGTGTAGAATCAATCTGTGGCTTAATCTCTTTTGATTTATTTGCTGTATTTATCTCATCTCCATCAGCCAACTGACAATGCAATACAATCACAAAATATTTATAATTTAGCAAACATAGTAAAATCTGAACAAATTAGTAGCAAAGAATGAAAGGAAAGGAAAAAGAAAAAGCATGCTCAGCCTTAATAATAATAATAATAATAATAATAATAATAATAATAATCCAGCACATAGATCTCGTTTGCTGTGACATACTGTGCTTTTGTGTCAGTAAAATAACAACAACAATAATAATACTTTATTTGTAACCCTGTCTACCCGAGGAGACTCAGGGTGGTTTCCAACAGAAAAATGGCAAACATTCAATGCCAAATATGAACAATGACCAATAAACAACCAAAATAAAACCAATAAACAAAACAATATAAGAACTTATAATAACAAAACAAGATATTCAAATAAAATCATTGAATCATAGAATTGGAAGAGACCTTGTGGGTCATCCAGTCCAACTCCCTGCCAAGAAGCAGGTAAATCGCATTCAAAGCACCCCCAACAGATGGCCATCCAGCCTCTGCTTAAAAGCCTCCAAAGACGGAACCTCCATCACACTCCAGGGCAGAACATAGCACCCAATTGTCTAGAAACCCTGGACAAAATAAAAATTTCATCAGACCTTTTATAAAAAGGAAGATGATGATAAAGCATGTGAAAAGCTTTTGTCACTGGAGTACACCCCCCCCCCCCCCGGAAAGCTTGGTTCCACTTTTCAATAACCTGCTCCTCCTTATATCTCACCCGAGTTTTTATTTTTTTTTAATTACTTTATTCTGCACATGTGGCCCGCCCATTGTCACTGTGATTGTGTGTATTGTAATTTTATATTGCTAATGTATTCATATGTTTTTATGTAATTGTGATGTTGTTTGTTGCTTGTGTTTTTGATTTTATTTTGCTGTAATTTTGTTGCTTGGGCTTGGCCTCATGTAAACCGCCCGAGTCCCCATTGGAGGAGATGTTGGCGGGGTATTAATAATAATAATAATAATTATTATTATTATTATTATTGTTATTATTATTAGATTGGTATTTTCTGGAGCAGTTATACTTTTTAAAATTTCATTTCTGATTCAAGATTTACCTCTCATTCTCAGGATATCTGGGAAAGGATGAAGAGGCAAAGTGTGACAGTTGAATGTAGAATGTATTTGGGAAGGATTGGTCACTGGTTACATTATTAATTAATTAAAATATATCTTAATTACCCTTGTTACTTGTGAATGCCAAGATGGTTTACAAACATAATCAAAACAATTAAAACCCAACAGTAAAAAAGAATATGACACAGTCTGTGGCCAAACAAAAACATTCTGCGCAATCACCAGTTGAGAAGGTCATAATTGGAGCAGCACAATCCAAGAAAGCTCTCTATCTTATGAACATGTCATGCAGTCAAGAAGTTTAAAGAGATCCTCCTCCAAGGACTATTAAGTCACAGGCAGCTTGGTTTCAGTAGAGGGCTTTTAAAGTTATATTGGACTTCAAAGGTAGTCATCAATTCCTTTCTGATGATGATGGGAACTGATGACTACCTTTGAAGTTCCTTTCTGGAACCCCCGGTGGCGCAGTGGGTTAAACCCCTGTGCTGGCAGGACTGAAGACCGACAGGGAGAGGCAGATGAGCTCCCTCTATCAGCTCCAGCTCCTCATGCGGGGACATGAGAGAAGCTTCCCACAAGGATGATAAAACACCATAAATCATCCGGGCATCCCCTGGGCATCGTCCTTGCAGACGGCCAATTCTCTCACACCAGAAGCGACTTGCAGTTTCTCAAGTCACTCCTGACACGACAAAAATAAAATAAGTTCCTTTCTGAGTGTTTTAAAAAACATGTTGCTATTTGAGGTATTGTGTCATTTCCAGGCTGTTCTAGCAACATTTTCTCCGGACGTTTCACTGGCATCTGTGGCCAGATCTTCAGAGGAATCCTATAAAGATGTTGGTCACAGTTGCAGGCGAAACATTAGGAATCCTCTGAAGATGTTGTGTGCAGCTGTATAGTAGTAGTAGTAGTAGTAGAAGTAGTAATAAATAGTTTATTTATTTATATTTCACCCTTCTCCCTGAGGGGGATCAGAGTGGATTACAGCATATAAACAGACACAGGCAAACATTCAATGCCTTGTTACAATGAAATACAACGAGGCACAAATACACAGGCAAAGGCAAAAGCTTCTTTCATTTCCGGCTTTGGAGGTGGTGCTCATCTCCGGCTCTGGGGAAGGTGCTCTTCTCCATTTCCAAGCTGAGGAGCCTGCATTGTCCATAGACACCTCCTGGTTGTGTGGCCGGCATGACTGCATGGAGGGCCTTTTTCCCGCTGAAACGGTACCTGTTGATCTCATATTTGCATGTTTTTGAACTGCTAGGTTGGTAGGAGCTAGGGCTAATAGTGGGAGCTCACCCTGTCCCACGGATTTAAACTGCTAACCTTCAAGTCAGCAGTTAAACAGCGCAAGGATTTAACCCATTGCACCTTCAGAAGATGTAACGTACATCCTCTGAAGATGCCAGCCACAGATGTAGGTGAAATGTCAGAAGAAAAGGCTGCTAGAACAGGGCCATACACCCCGGAAACCACACAATACCCCAGTGATTCCAGCTGTGAAAGCCTTCAACAATACATGTTGCTTTTTGACAAATAAATCCTGGTTATTTCCTTTCAGGACTGGATGGCCTCACTTAGAAGAGAAATAGATCTCTATCATGAAAAGAAAGAAGCAGTTCCTGATTTAAGGTCTGCAGAAGCTGATGCAGGCTTGTTCCTTCTCATTCTTGTGACTAACATGAAACAGTTCCTTGTAATGACATTTCCTGCTGTGGGAAACTCATGGGGTTTTGAGTTGCATGGCTCCTCAATTGCAGGTGGACAATCGACAACAGTGTCTCTTTCTGTTGATAGCATAATCATAACTGTGAGTTAACTTCAGAACAACTGTTATGTCCTTCAGTTGAAGAGCTGCTTTTCCTTTCAACTACTTGTCTACATAGTTTTAGTATCCAGATTAACAAAATGCTGTTATGTTGATCATTGTGAAAACTTGTGGTAGATACACACGAGGCTAATGGTTAACCTCCAAATAAGTGAGTCATCTCAGTACAGCTGTACACAACACATACTGTCTTAGGTTGTCTTGCTTTGGAAGCCTTGATATTCAGCAAGAGAAGGCAAGTGCCACTTGATCAGGGGCCACTTTTCAGACTGGCAAAGTACTCAAGTATTCCACTTAGTGTTTTCCCCTTCTGTTTTTAAAGTTCTTTTAAAGTTAAAATACATTGAAATGAGCCGCATGTATGTAAAACAGATTTATTATTAACGATGTATTCATATTGGACTAATTATTATTAAGTTTATGTATAATAGAAATTAAAAGTGTTTGAATTGATCTTAAATAATAATCTATTATTTATCATAATGACTACTCATATTGAATTACAAGCACCTAAATTTACCAGTGTCTTACTGATGTAATGCAGGTAGTTCCTTTTGCTGCTGTCTATATCACATTGGGAGCCCCGGTGGCACGGTGGTTTAAACTACTGAGCTGTTGAACTTGCTGACCAAAAGGCCGGCGGTTCGAATCTGGGGAGTGGGGTGAGCTCCTGCTGTTAGCCCCAGCTTCTGCTACCCTATCAGTTTGAAAACATGCAAATGTGAATAGATCAATAGGTACCGCTTCTGCGAGAAGGTAACAATGCTCCATGCAGTCATGCTGGCCACATGACCTTGGAGGCGTCTACGGACAATGCCGACTTTTTGGCTTAGAAATGGAGATGAGCACCACCCCCAGAGTCACATACGACTAGACTTAATGTCAAGAAGAAACCTTTACCTTTACCTTATATCACTTAAAGCAATTCCCCATCAAATTTAGGAAATTGGGGTGTGCACTTAGCTCAGTCTGGCAGTTGAGTTTGAAAGAAGCATTTACCTATTTAAAACTATTCCATTTTTTCCATCTCATCAGAGGTAACTTGTTTTATGCATGCTTCATGTATCTATAATTATTGGATTAAGTTATGTGGTTAGTTCAAATAGAAGTGAATCAGTGCGATTTACATAAATGTTGACCGACCATTTCTCTAGTTGGGACTGACTGATAAGTTTCAGTGCTGTATATAGGCTATTCTTACAAGTTCTATAACTAGTGATCAAAGTCCTAACTGAAACCTTTCTCTGTGTTCCTAGTGACTCTGGTTCAGATGCTGACAGTTTTTATGGCTCAGTAGAACGACCTGTTAATATACATTACTCACAACATTCAATAGAGAGTTCAGGTAAGAACATAATTTTGAAAGACCCTGTTGTATAAATTACAACAACAAGAAAACAAATCTTGTGACATTTTAAACTACCAATAATGTGGCATATGTTCTCACAGCCATTGTTAGAGATGCATGGAGTATTACCTTAATTGTTAGATTCATCACATACCATATATACTTTAGTATTAACTGACCCAAATATAAGCCAAGGCACCTAATTTTACCACAAAAAACTGGGAAAACGTATTGACTCGAGTATAAGCTGAGGGTGGGAAATGTAGCAGCTACTGGTAAATTTCAAAATAAAAATAGATACCAATAAAATTACATTAATTGAGGCAACAGTAGGTTAAATGTTTTTGAATATTTACATAAAATTTTAATATAAGATAACTGTCCAACTCTGATTAGATCATTATTCTAACCTTCTTCAATGTAAATGTGCTTACATATCCTTCCAATAATAATAAAGACAGTAAAATAATGGAAATGTAATAATTTATTATTATTTATTTATTTACAATATTTCTATCCCCCCGAAAGTGACTCAAGACAGCTTACAACAATGCAATCATTTGATGCCTTAACAATATACATTTAAAACAGAATTATAAAGTGCATACAATAAGATCTTTAAAAAACATATAAAACCAATAAATAAAACCAATACCTTCACTGTTAGCCTTGTTGTCCAAAATCGTCTGATCCGTTCCAGTATTCAATTTCACATAATTCCATGTTTGTCTATTGCACCATAAAAGTAATAATAGAGTAAAATAATAAATGCAATATTAATACTAGAGTAAAGTAAAAAAATATAATAATAACAATAATAGAGTAAAATAATAAATGTAATAAAAATAATAGAGGAAAATAATGTAAATGTAATAACAACAATAATAATAAGAGAGGAAAATAATAAATGTAATAATAATAAATAGAGAAAAATAATAAATGTAATAATAATAACTAGAATTAAAAACCCCGGAGATTGCACAGATATACAAACCCCACTTGCCTAGTTTCCAACAGACCTCAAAACCTCTGAGGATGCCTACCATAGATGTGGCCGAAATATCAGGAGAGAATTCTTCTGGAACATGGTCATATAACTCAGAAAACTCACAGCAACCTTGCAATAATTATTCCATAAGAATATAGATCTATAATTTGTTGGGTTCTTCATGTCTCAGTTTTCCTTAGGAATTAAGATTATGCTGGCCTGTCTCCAGGAATTTGGCATTTTATTCCTTAATGCATCATTCATTGTTTGCAGAAAAGGCACACTTGACAGATCCTGTAAAGTCTTATAAGATTGTGCGGTCAATTTGTCAGGACCCAGAGCCTTTCCTATTTTCATCTATTGGCATGTCTGATTTATTTGGGTGGGATTTAGACCATATTGTACTTCATGAATCTCCTGTCCTTTTCTGCCTACTTCTTCTGACATCACTCAATGAATTATGCCTTCAGATAATTTGGAAGAAATTCTTCTGTTGATCCAGTAATTTGAGTAATCAAAATCTCAAGGGGTGTTTGTGACTTCACTTTAAGGCCCTCGTATAGTGACAAAGCAGAACGCTTTCAGGTTAAAATAAGGCATGTGCTGCTGGCAGCACCTTGTCTTAAACTAAAAGTGCTAATTTTAAACTATATCTTGTCATCAATCCATAACCATTAAGGTGAAATCATAGTTCTATAATTGTGTGTTGTGAAAGGCCTCGTGTTTACAAATGTGCATTAAGTTTCCTGCTGTCTTAAGAGTCATTGGCACATGGCAAGTAATCTAGAAATGCATTTCATACTATATTTATTTTCAGATTATGACCAGGATGAAGATGATGATTACTTACAGCCAGATGATTTAGACAGTGCAAAATGTGAAGGTAGGAAAAATTACATCTTCCTGAAAACCAAACTGTTTGCAGAAATGTGATTTGAGAAGGATATTTGCATGGTGCAAAGTTCTAAATGGATCAAGAGGTTTTGTGAAAATAAGTTACTGGGTGATGTATCCTGAGGGGTTAATGAGAAAAATATTTATAGCGGGGTTTATTCTGGTTTGGAAAAAAAAAAGAATATTTTTACAATGTAAAGCAGTGTATGGGAGCTCTGTCACCCATTTAAAAGGTGGATTGCCATACACTGAGACTTCCAAGAGAGCCAAATTATCCCTTTCTGCCAAAACAAAGGTGGTCAGGGACCAGGATTGCATAAGCAGGCCTGGGAAAAACACCTGGGCTGTAGTTTGCCTTTAAAAAAAGAAAACTAATTGACCTGAATCCTGTTGTTAGTCCCAAACAGAGTCAATCAGACTTTATTCTCCAACTCAACATTCAACAGTTGGTTCAATGTGTTTTTTCTCAGATGAGCCCAACCAACAAGAAGCAGGGCATTATGTGATTTCATTATTTGGGTGGATAGTCTCTTCCATTTGCGAATTAAGTGGTATTCACAGTTTTCCCTGAAAATCTCAAGCTCTGTCTATCTGTCCTTCTTTTTAATTACAGTCAGTCCTCCATATTTTCTGCATTATGGGTGCAGGACCCCCACAAAAAGTGGGGATACTATGAATAACCCCCTCAATTATTTTGACCTAAGAGAATACTTCACTAGGAACCTGGGGTCCCCAGATGTTTCTGGCCTTCAACTCCCAGAAATCCTAACAGCTGGTAAACTGGCCGGGATTTCTGGGAGTTGTAGGCCAAAAACATCTGGGGACCCCAAGTTGAGAACCACTACTCTAGGTCCTCCAGTGCAATAGATTCACATTGGAAGATCAACAACCTGGAGAAATGCTCTTTTTTAGGCATCTCTAAATTCTCCAGTGTGGCTCTATGGCAAAAGCTGGTCACACGGGATTACCTAGAGCAGTGCTTCTCAACCTGTGGGTCCCCAGGTGTTTTGGCCTACAACTCCCAGAAATCCCTGCCAGTATACCAGCTATTAGGATTTCTGGGAGTTGAAGGCCAAAACATCTGGAGACCCACAGGTTGAGAACCACTGACCCAGAGATAACATAATAATCAAATCCGCAAAAGTGAAACCCATGACTGTGGAGGACCAACTGTATATCATTTTCTGCATTCCGAAGGCTATAGTCCTCTGCCAAATCAGTCTTGGCTGTCAAGTGAAAAGGTCTCTATTGAAAGAAAGTCTTAGATGGTTTTTATGAATGTCCAAAAGGTATGAAGATGGAGGTGGGAGGAGTGAGAGAGAAGGAGAGAGATACAGAAATATAGAGATAAACTGATTGATTAGTTGGCCTCTGAATAGATTTTAAATATTAATGTAACAGCCAATCGTCACATTTGCTCTGATAATCAGAATTACATATTGTACAGCTATTATTCAGGGATGCAGCCTCAGCTGTCCTTTCATGAATACTAAATAGCTACTACCAAAAATGGGCATTTGCCTCCTCTTTCAGATACCATCTCTTTCTATTTATTCTACTCTTCCCTTTTATGTTGTCATATCTTCTACAGGAAATAGTTTTGTTTTTTAAAAAAATTGTGTTTTTTTTAACAGATCAAAAAGTCTTCCCACCAAAATACCCGCCCCCTCCAGTTCCTCAGATGGAAAAAACTTCCTATTCACAAACAAAGCCATGCTTGCTTTCTGGCAAATCCAGAGTGGCTGTGTTTCCACCACCACCTCTGAAAAACAGCTCACCTGGTGTTAGGTCCAGCATTCTTCTTGGCGTGAGAGGAGAATTTCCTTTTAATTACCAAGCCGAGCATAAAAAGGGAGCCAACTCAACATGCCAGCAAGCAAGTGGCCAGGGACCACCAGTGCCTCCAATCCATTTGCCCCCAAAACCCATCTCCTTTACAGAAATCCGCTCTGCGCCTGCTGTGTGTCAACCACAAGCCAATGTTTTACCTGCTACCAAAGAGTGTGAGAAGCTTAAAGACCTAAAACTTTCTACAAAATCCCCCCCTCCGTTGCCAAGCAGCAAGCCAAAATTATCACTAAATACAGTGCACATACAAGAACCAAGGAAGCCAGATCACTCTGGACTATTGATATCCAAAGTTCTTTCTAACTCACAAGTGCCTCGGGACAAATCATCTGTGCCTGTGTCGAAACCAGATAAGCCTTCTCCTCCACAGTAAGTTGGAAAACAGAATTAATAAATAGGATGTTGATATTATTTCTGTTAAGGGATAGTAAAGAATTTACCCTCCCTACAGACCCTTGGCCTTGAAATTGCCTGTTGCCTGTAGCACTCTTACAAATAACTTGCACTGTTACTTGCGTACAATGTTTCAAATCAAATCATTTATTTCAGTCATTGACCAGCACAGGAAATAGAAGTCACATTTTCATACAAACTTGGTATGTTTGATACATTTGGTACAATGTGGGTGAGGTAGCAGAGGGGGAAACAGGGTAAAAACATACAATTCACAGATCCATCACCAAATTGTAGATTCAGGGAAAAAGATTACTGGACACACAGTTAACTTTTGGGACTAGTCATTCCCTGACGGATTTTGTATGCTGCTGCACAGAACTTTGCAACATTGTAGGTTGTAGCTGAATTAGTATCTGCAAGTAGCATGGAGGTATAAAATTGTCCTGAATGGCCTGGGTGCTTGTATATCAGAGGTAAGATAAGCCTGGCACGGATATCCCTGTAGAACGGACACTGAAGGAGCACATGTTCTATTGTTTCTACATGACCTGAGTCACAGGGGCAGAGTCTCTGGGAAAGGAATCTTCCGGTAGTGGCCTTCGAGTACAGCTGATGGAAGAGCGTGGCATCGAGCCAGGGTGAAAGCCCTTCGATGAATAGGAACCTCTAAGTTTGTTAAATATGTCACAGGGAAGGCAAGATATCTGCTGTCTTCATTGATAAGGAAGATTGGAACCGAGGCCAGATCTAATTGGCACTCTGAGTCTGTGATACGTTGTTTAATAAGTGCTTTGGCTTGATTTTAATCCATAGCGAATAGTACACCTGGAGAAAATCCCAATGAAGTAATTTTGGATGCTACTGCCTGCTTCCATGTGGATTGGAAGTCATCCTCCATTGTTAGTGGGGCAAGACCAAGGGGTGCACGGGATAGTCTGAGCCAGAGGTTGAGTATGGCCACCCACACCCTGGCCTCCACTCTCATAAAGCCCATCTCTAGTCACAGGGTGGCATTAGAAACGCATTTAGGTACCTGCAAGGCCGATCTCAGAAACGTTGACTGAACCAGCTCTAATGGGGCAAAAGCGGGGAAGGGTCCCAGCTGAGCCCCATACAAGAGTTGGGCTAATGACTTAGCTTCAAACAGTTTGAGCGCTGCTGGTGTAAAGTGGCCCCCTCTTGACTTAAGATATTTAAGAATGGCAATTGAACTCCTTTGCACAGTGTTGGCTACTTGATCCCCATGAGCTCTTCTGTTGCCATTCAATTGGAGAACTACACCTAGATATTTGAAGGATGTAACTTGTTCAATTTTATGACCATCTATACTCCAAGAGTAGGTCCTGGGCCTATTAGTGAAAGCCATGATTATTGTTTTATTGTAATTAAGTTGGAGCTGATCTGTGTTGCAATGTTGTATTAATGCTCTCAGAGCTCTTTTGAACCCAATGGGTGTTCTAGAGAGTACAGCAGCATCATCTGCATAAAGCAGGATGGAGATGTGTCTTCCCGCCAGCTTTGGGGGGTGGAAGTCCATATTTTGGTCCACTATGGAGTTTAGATAAAAGTTGAACAGCAAAGGGGCCAGGATGAAGCCTTGCTTGACACCCTTGCCTGTTTCAACAGCCTCAGTGAGGTAGCCCTGTGGGTTGCATCTTATTTTGAGTGTTGTCTTTTCATGAAGTTGGCGTATTAGATAGACGGCAATCAGTTGTAGAACTCTCCAGTTTTTCCCAAAGTTTAAATCTATAAAAGCAGCATATAGTGAGGTTATGTTTTGGGAGGAACATTTTTCCACAAGATGTTGCAGCACTGATCTATGGTGGATTGACCTTTCCTGAATCCAGCATGCTCCTCAGCTAATATGCTTTCTTGTTCCAACCAATTTTGGAGTTTCCATTGGAGATGTCTAGCTTATAGCTTACTGATAGTGTTAAGGAGGTTGATTGGTCGATAGTTCGCAGGATCATCCTTTTTCCCTTTCTTTTTATAGATGGGAAGATTGCAAGCCCCAATCCTTGGGGATTTGGCCATGGTTGTCAATACATGTAAAAAGTGAGGCTAGGATGGGGGTCCAGAAATCCAGGTTGTTCTTGATGGCCTCTGCTGGGATAAGATCTTCTCCTGGGGCCTTGCCTGATCGTAGTTGGGCAACCAGGTTCTTAATTTCTGTAGCTGATACAGGTGGCCATGGTGGAAGGTTCTCTGTGTCAAGGTTGGGACAGTCCCTTCCAGTAGAGGTGTCCATATATAGAGATCCTGACTCAACCTTTTGTCAGTTGATTGGTGTGATTAATAGACATTTATCAGAAGGGGGTAGTCATTGTTAATTGTTTAATTTAGCAAAGTGCATTTGAGGGGATTTTAACAAAATTTGTGAAAAATATCCAGTTGCCCTCTGCTGTGTCCAGTCGTCTACATGAAACAGTTTGCTAATCTCTTCATCTTCTGGTTCATCCACTGCAGAGTATTTGTGTGGTATTGCTTTTATCAGGGGTTAACAACCTAGTGTCCTCGGGCCCAATAAATTTTAGGCAGCATGGTTAATGGTGAGAAATTCCTTAAGTTGAATTTGTAAGTAAGTCAGAAAAAGTACATTTTTAAGTGTAACTCCAGCTATAGATAGATAGATAGATAGATAGACAGACAGACAGACAGACAGACAGACAGACAGACAGACAGACAGACAGACAGATAGAGATACACCTCCCCCCCCCCCCCCCCCCCCCCCCCCCCCCCCCCCCCCCCCCCCCCCCCCCCCCCCCCCCCCCCCCCCCCCCCCCCCCCCCACACACACGGGCGGCTAGGAAGGGTGAACACTCCTGTGGTGTTTGTTTTGTCTGTGCCCCTGTTCATATTTCACTCACTTTCTGTCCCTGTGCTAATTGGATTTTGAAAAAATTGGCTTGTTGTAGAAACAAGGTTTGGTGAGAAAGCTTCAATGGAGACACCTTTTTCCCATGATAACTCTTCTAGGAGTTAATTTCCCTTCCAAGGGGTAGATTTTTCACACTTCCTGTTGTCTCACCTCCATTCATAATTATGAGTTGTTTGTAAATTGGATGTTTGTAACTTGGGGATATTAAAATTCACAGGACAAAGATTAAAATATAGGGAACACAAGACATGAGTTTAAAATTCATGATTAAAACATGCACATGCACCTGCTACAAGAGATAAGTCTTCAGATGTGTTTTAATTTTCAATAGCTGCTTTAGCTGTTGGAGCTCTTTCAGCAAGTTATTCTACATATGGATTAAGAGTACAATACACTCAACATACACATGACACATCTGTTGCACATTGCAGGTGAAAACTGATAAAAAAGGGCAAAGTGTTTTCCAGCTATTTAAAGTGCCCAGAATCCTTGTATTACTGGTAATAAATATATAAAAAAACTATTTTTTAAAGACACGGATTGGCAACTTGGTGCTCTCGAAATGTTTTACAGAAGAGCTTCAAAAACATATTTTCTAATGTTAGTTTATGTTCTGTATCTGCTAGGAGATCATCTCCAGATGGACAGAGTTTCCGAAACTCTTCATTTGAGAAACCAGCCTCACCTTCACAATCAAAATTATCTGGAGAAGATTCAGATGGTGACTATGAGAAAGTAAGGCAGCTCATTCCTCTTCTGATAGTGCCAGAACACCGGTGTAGGCCTTAGAGTTTATGGGTTAAATGTTAGGTGGTCTTCTATGGCAATTAATATAATTGCTGTTATTTAAGGGTGAGAGGTTAGACCCATTGAGAAAGTATACTTCAGATTGGATACTTTTTTATAGTGATGGTAGAGATATGCAGCTATGTGGTCAATAGATTGCCTATTTGTATGCAAATTCTTCTGCTGTCTTTCCTGTGTTCTGCACAGTTGAGATGGGTATGCATTCTCATGCCCATTGTGAGGAATTGAGTTGGTCAGGAAAGGGAACCAAATTGATACAGTAGCTTACAGTTTTATTGGCCACAACCTTACCTGCCAGAGTTTTCCAGTGCAAGTTTAGAGTAGTTCATATCATAGCCAAGAACAACCTGGAGACATGGGTAATTTAATATAGTTCTCAGTTTTAGGCAGGATCCATATCGCAGGGTATTGGGGAATTCTTCTTCGAATTTGCCATAGAAAAATTGTTTCAGTCTGGCAGCTGATGGAACTAGATGACTTACAAGGCTCTTTCCAAATCTGTAATGTAATTTCCATTTTGAAACATGCTTCCTTATGTGTGTTGGTGTGGCTTCTTCAGATGAATGTGGCCACTCATATTTATTAAATCAGTTTTGCTACACATGGGACGATTACACTTATGTGATCATTTTATTTGACAAACTCTTTTTTTAATGCAGGTTGAGTTACCGAGTTCCGTATTTGTGAATACCTGTGAATCCCTTGAAGTCGAAAGGTAAATGTATTTGTATATAGGCATTAGCTGGAATATGGGTAGTCCCTATCGTTTCCTGGAAAAGTGGGTCATAAAAATGTTTGAGAAATGCCAGGGACAGTGACAAAGGGCGAAGTCTTGGCGCTCAGCAGACGTTGAAGGGTAACTAAATAATTACAATGAAAAGGTGCTGAAAGCATGAAAGTAAAACCTTTGTGTAATTTTTGTGACCTTAGGCCCAATGAGAATTAATATTGGCTTCATTGTTGTACCTGTACATTGCCTTCCTTCTTCAAAATAAATCATTTATTGTATTTATTTATTCAGTCAATCATGTATTTTTATCCTACCATTGAAATAAATGGCATTTCTGCAGGGGGGGGGGGAATTTTTTTTTTGTCGTGTCAGGAGCGACTTGAGAAGCTTCAAGTCGCTTCTGGTGTGAGAGAATTGGCTGTCTGCAAGGACGTTGCCCAGGGGATGCCTGGATGATTTTTGTTATGTTTTTACCATCCTTGTGGGAGGCTTCTCTCATGTCCCCACATGAGGAGCTGGAGCTGATAGAGGGAGCTCATCTGCCTCTCCCCGGATTCGAACCTGCGACCTGACGGTCTTCAGTCCTGCCGGCACAGGGGTTTAACCCACTGCGCCACCGGGGACTCCACAGGGGGGAAAATCAGTTGCCATGTGTAGTCGTAATGTCAAGATTTCAAAGATGGGTTTTGATGTTTGCTACTTCACAAAATTGACCATTTAGTGTTTCTATACCATTTTAGGTTGTTCCGATCTGAAAATCCCACAGGACATGTGAAAAATGGATTATTCTGCATTAGGAATTCCTCTACAAAAACTGGAAAGGTAATCATATAGAAATGTCAGATTCTACATATTTGTAAAAGGCTATTGGGGGGGAAATTAATACAGTGTGTCTAAATATAAATAATCATCTAGGTATCTCCCCAAATATCTTATATCGAGATATTTGAAGTAATGATAAAATTAATGGTTCAACCAACCTCTTTCGGGTTTCACAAGGTACAGAATTTTATAGCAAACTGCTTTCTCCATTACTCCCCCCGCCCCCACACACTGATCACTTATAGTACAAGATGTTGAAAAAGATTGTTTGTTCAAGTGCACTGGACACCTCATTAAAAATTAAATGCTGACCACAATATTTTGAGCTTTGTCTTCTTTTATCTTCATTTTACTTGGCCAGTAGCACACACTAACTTGCAGTGGAGTTTCTTATAAAGAAGATGTGGGTTGCTGACATGAAAATAAAATGGAAATTCTTCAAGCATGTTCATTCCACTTTTAATAATGTTGTACTATCAGTCATGATGAAATCACAGGAAGCAAAACAAATATACAGTAGGGGCTCATGCCTCTCGAGAGGCCTTATGCTTGAATTCATCTACATATGCCTTGGCTACTGAGCTGACTAGATAGAACTAGTCTGGTAATAGCCAAAGTATTTGCAACTTGGTTACAAATATACAGCTGCCATTTCTTTTAAATTGCACTTTAACGTTTTCATTACATTAACACTATACTGACTGCGAAGACGTGTGGGTAAAAAGTTGTATTTGATTTTCCTCTTTCAAGGTATTAGTTGTATGGGACGGATCTATTGAAAAAGTGAGAAATTACAGAATCTTTCAACAGGTGGGTAAAATATATTTATTACTTATTTAGAGCTTTCATAACCCGGTCTTCTCGACCTCCGAAGAGGGACACAGGCCGGCTAACAGCAGGAAATTCATACACAAGTAGGATAAACATAATAGCATCATAATACATTAAGACATAAAATACATTAAAATACAGATCATACAATTACAAAAAGCCAGGTTGTCAAAGTAAAATCACAGTAAAAGTACAGGATATAAATATTTACAGTAGTTGAATAAAACAATATGCAGTCTACTTTTAAACCAGTCTTCCTTATTGGATTATAACTTGGTCTGCTAGTTCAAATTTAAAATGTTTATAAAATGGGGAGAAGAAATTATTTTATCTGAGCAGTAACAAAATAATGAGGTTGTTAACAATCTAGAGTGTAGCTGGAGGCAACTACAGTTGTCATCATTCATTCACAGGGTTTTGTGGTATAGAAACCCCTCAACAGTGGAAAAACAACATCTCTAAGGGCAGGAAAGGCTTTTTGTGGAACCAACAGATGAGGGTGGAGTGCTGCCGTGTCTCCCCCAAAGCCATGGTGATTGCAGAGAAGCAGCCATCTCAGGGTCCTTCCAGACAAGGCCCTATATCCTAGGATCTGATCCCAGGTTTTCTGCTTTAAACTGGATTATATGAGTCCACACTGCCAGATAATCTGGGATAAACAAAAAACCTGAGATCAGATCCTGGGATATAAGGCCTGTCTGGTAGGGCCCTCAGTCACCAACCACCCCTCCTGAAAATCTACTGACCAGCAGACTTGGGGGGGCGGTGTCGGCGTTGGAAACTAAGATTGTCGTGGTCCCACTCTTTGAAGCCACATGGAGCTGAGCAGCAGCGATTGACTGTTGCCGATCCTAGATCTACATACTGGTTGGCTTTCAAAATTGGTTGGTGAGAGAGATTGCTATTGCTGTGCTTCTCCCAAAGCCATAATCTTAGGGGGCGGGAAGACAAATCAGCAGTGATGACTGGTCAGCCACCTCACAAAATCTTCTCAACAGCAAGATTTGGGAAGTTGTTGGCAAGGGAGATAATTTTTGTTGTCTCCCCCAAAGACCCGGGAAGCACAGAGGGAAAACTGCCAGTCCCGTCCTGTGACACATGTAGCAATCTGCTTCTGGAGGTGGCTGGTGAGGGGGTGCTAGGGCTCAGCAGCACCCCCAGGCTTTGGGAATGGTTGATATCAACTGTGTGCCAAACTCACAAATGTGGAGGACCCGTTTTATCAGTTGATATCCTATGCGTTGTGTGTCTGTACTGCCTTCGTTTCTAGTTTCATTATCCCAGGATGTTCCTGAGTTGGTTAATAACTTCAGGTGTTTGTCTTCATCTTGCTATAGGGCTGTAAGTTTTACCTGGAGGCAGATGCCCTGTTTGTGAGCCTTGGAAATCTGGTTGAATACTACTCCGGTCATGTCTTGCCAGGCCACAACAATTTGATGCTACGGTTTCCTTATGGTTATTCAGGACCAAGGTGACAGACCTTCATAATCCACTGTGACACTAACCACAATGAGCAAGTATGGGTTTACAAGATGCAAGTGTTTTATTTCCCATGTAAGTCAGTTATGAGGAATGTATAGATCACCTGATGATGTTGGAGTGCAGCTCCCATCATCCTTCACCAGTGGCTCTTATGTTAGGGTGATAGACTTACAATCTGCCAACCTCCTATTTCTCATTTTAAACTAAAAAGGAATAATTACACTCCTTTCATGGAGTTGAGGCCTGGAGTGGATTTCTGAGTTACATAGAATAAGGAGGAGGGCACATTGTCAGAAGGAAGCTGACATGTTTTATGTGAGCAGACACCTTGTTTGAGGCACTAGTTTCTCTCAGCCTATGGATATGAAGTTACTGTGACTAACAGAACTACTATGCAAGAAATTTCTAAAGCAAAGTACTAATGTTCACATTACTGTAGTTTTCCTGACTTTTTATTTGAGTCAGCATTGATGTTTGTACTAATTTAGTATTTAAAATTAGTACAAACTGTGTAGCACAAAACCATGTACTGTATAACAAATTTGTTTCCAGAATGTAAAAATCAGTGGGGCTTTGTCTTGTAACCTTAGTTACAGTCTTAGTTTACTTACAAAATACTGTCCCAACATACTGTGTATGGAATGTGGACGTGATCTGTCATTTTATGGTATTTTGAAAGTATTTGTTTCTCCGAGGCATTTTCATTGTAATGCAGAACTGTTATTTTAAGTACACACAAGCACATGCACATGCTTCTTTCTCTGTGTAATGGGCTACAAAACTGTGCCAAGCTGATTGTGTAAACGTCCATTTAGCTGAGACAACGCTCAAAAAATCTGCTGTTAGGTGTTAAGTATATGTGCACTTACACACTTTATACTACTGCGGCCAAATCCATAGGTTAATTTTAAAACTGGATTAAAAATATGAACCAAAATATTTAATAGGATAGCAATTTGTTTTTTAAACATGTCAATTAATGTTATACAAGTTTTGATATCATGTATTTGGTGATTTTATAATGCACTGTAATGATAAATTGTGACTTTTGTAAAATAAGAATCTGAATTATTATCTGAATGTATAAACATGGCTTTTGAATTTCAGACTGCATTGATAAACATTTCATGTGTCATTTTCTATTTCAGTACTCAAGAACTAGTAAATAGTTCATTAAGGTATTGTTCTCTTTAAATGAATATATGCCACAAATGTAGGTTTTGATAACATAACACTTCCATGGATATTAAGCTTATAAAATGCAGCATTTTAGTTAGCTTGTTTTGCTGGGCTTAAGCCTTCTACATCACATTGTAGTCTATCAATGAATACTGCTTACGTCATACAGTGCAGTACTATCGGAGGTGGAAGAGATTTCGACTGCTATCAAATACAATTCCTCTGTAGGAAATACATACAAAGTGTCCTGAAAGTCAACCATATTTATTACTCTGTGTGTGTGAATGACTGATATATATAGAGAGGGGGGGGGGAGGGAGGGATAAAGGAGAGGTTTGGTTCTACCCCCCCCCCCCCCCCCGGATACTAAAATCTATGAATACTTAACGTCCCTTTATATACAATAACATAGTGAAATGGCAAAATCAAGATTTGCTTTTGGGATTTTTTCTTTTCTGAATTTATTTCAAGCTGTGGATAAAGCAATCTGTTCTAGATGTGATTGTCAGTTCTTTATAACCAAAACAGTGTTCTTGATTACAGAAATGAACCAAAGCACAAATCCATAATCTAATATAAACATTGGAAATCTGTTATGTGCAAGGTTCAAACCACAGCAGATTCAAGGTTGACATATAACAACTATTTTCTAACAATGCAAATGTTGTGATTGTTGTATGTCTTGAAGTTGCTTCAAACTTATGGTGGCCCTAAGGAAAGCATGGGCAAACTTTGGTGTTTTGGACTTCAACTCCCAGAATCCCCTTACTGGCTGTTAGGAATTGTGGGAATTGAAGTCCAAAACACTTGGAGGGCCAAAGTTTGCCTATGCCTGCCCTAAGGCCACCCTAGTAGAGTTTTCTTGGAAAGATTTTTTGGAGGGAGGGGTTGGCTGTGCTTCCTCTGAGGCTAAGTGAGTGTAATTTGCCTCATCTTAGTGCAATGCCCAAACCACTACATCAAATTGGCTCTCTAGTACAAACTTACTACATATTTATCTCAGTGTTTCTTGTTTTCAGACAGGCTTATTTTCAGGTAAGTGTGTATATACTGTGGTTTCAGTGTTGAATTGGGACTCCCAAGAAGCCAGGAGTCAACATGGAAGCATACAACAGCAACAAATTCTGCCTAAGCCTGCAGTCCATATACCCACATAAACATGGTCTAAATTCAATTGTTTATCCCAACTCAACTAGATCCATTAAATAGGTTTTACGTAATAGTTGACGTCCCATTTCACAGTTGATTCAATAGGTCCATTCTAGTTGGAACTAGAAATTGGATTTAGTAAAAGTAGTAAAATATAAAAATAACTATTCTGTAGTTTCTTGAAATGCTCAGCCCAGCTGGGCAAAGCTAGCTGAACACTGAATAATGGTAATTGTAAATCTTCAGAGGTACATTATTTCAACACAAACTGTGTTTTCATTGTTAATTTCTATTAAAATATAATTAGCTTTTTCAACTCTCAAAAATATTTTATAGAGCTAGGAAACAGCTAGTACAATGTGTGTGATATTTAATTTTTCATATATGAACTTAGAACTATAATAATGATAAATAGTCACCGTGTTCTTAGTGATGTTTTGTTTAGATGTTTATTGTGATCGGACAGACATGACTAAGGCATTTAGGTGAAACTACACAATACAACCAAAATCTATTTGGAAGAGATCAGAAACTGCCCAACATAGTTTTTTTTGGTTGTGTCTTCGTTTCACTCAAATGATGAATTGCAAAAGTTAAAAACTATTTTAATGTTTTAGCATACATGTAAGCGAAGAGAAAAAACAAAAACAAATGAAAACAAATCTATCATACAGTGCCATTCACGAGGATCAAACACTTCTAAAATTAATCCTCAGTTGAGCAGGAAGTGTAACTATCTGTAATAGTTAAACTGTTTAATGTAGCGTGGTCTACATTAAATTTGCATGAAACAGTTTAACTGGTAATACCAAAAATCCTTAATCTGTTGCACAAGTTCCATACCAAATGAAACAAAACTAACAATTTTCTGAATAACACAAAAAATAACCTTAGTATAAATATGTCTGAACAGAATTACTTCATAACTGTGCATTCTTGAGAAAGAAATACAGAAATTCTAAGTATTTGTGTTGCATGAATAAGAAATTGATTGATCAGTTCCAAAATAGTTTCTGTCGGTCATAAAAACAAAATTTCTGGAGTATAACAAATACTTTCAAAGTAAGTGCCACACAGTTTAACAGGAAATAACACTTTCAAACCAGGAACAGACTTTTTTTTTTTTTGCACAAAGAGCTCATGTGGGGACTATTATTATTATTATACCCTGCTTTCTTGCTCCTGCAGGAGACTCAAAGTGGCTTAACATAAAAGCAAACATTAATTTGGTACTGGTAATTGCCAGAAAATTGTCCAGGACAAGCTACAAATACCACAACCTATTGACACAATCGCCCTGTTTGGAGCATCCCCAAGGATTTTTCTTCACACCCAATTGTTTAGCAATAGCAAAGGTTTCCTCAAGCCTTTAAATTATGCAGCTAAAATGAACAAAGATTAGCAGGGAATCAAGAATGGAAGTTTTATATGCGACAACAATGAATGTTATATGAGACAACATTCCAAATTTCTGCTCTATTCAGCCCTTCAACTCAGTTGTACTATCCTCCATTTTCTGGTATTAGGGGCTGTGAGAGTTGAAAAACAGCAAAATTTTAAAAGCTATTGTTTAACTTAAGTGAGCAGTGGGTTAAACTGGGTTGTTGTAGGTTCTTTCGGGCTATATCGCCATGGTCTAGAGGCATTTCTCCTGATGTTTTGCCTGCATCTCTGGAAAGCATCCTCAGAGGTAGTGAGGTCTGTTGGAACTAGGAAAAAGGGTTTATATATCTGTGGAATGACCAGGGTGAGACAAAGGACTCTTGTCTGCTGGAGCTAGGTGTGAATGTTTCAACTGACCACCTTGATTAGCATTTGATTGCCTGGCAGTGCCTGGAGCAATCTTTTGTTGAGGTGATTAGATGTCCTAGATTGTTTCCTCTCTGTTGTTGTGCTGTTGTAATTTTAGATTTTTAATACTGGTAGCCAGATTTGTTCATTTTCATGGTTTCTTCCTTTCTGTTGAAATTGTCCACATGCTTGTGGATTTCAATGGCTTCTCTGTGTAGTCTGGCATGGTGGTTGTTGGAGTGGTCCAGCATTTATGTGTTCTCAAATAATATGCTGTGTCCAGGTTGGTTCATCAGGTGCTCTGCTATGGCTGACTTCTCTGTGGCTGTATACACACACATCATGCTCCTTGATGCGTGTTTGGGCAATGCTGCTTCGTTTGGTGGTCCCTATGTAGACTTGTCCACAGCTGCATGGTACACGGTAGACTCCTGCAGAGCGAGAGGATCCCTCTTGTCCTTTGCTGAACGTAGCATTTGTTGGATTTTCTTGGTGGGTCTGTAGATAGTTTGTATGTTGTGTTTCCTCATCAGCTTCCCTATGCGGTCAGTGGTTCCCTTGAGCCATAGATATATAAACCCATTTTCCTAGTTCCAACAGACCTCACTACCTCTGAGGATGCTTGCCATAGATGCAGATGAAATGTCAGGAGAAATGCCTCTAGACCATGGCCATATATTTATTTTATTTATTTACTGCACTTGTAGACCGCCGTTCTCAGCCCTAGGGTGACTCACGGCGGTGTACAACATATAAAAACAGGTACAATTTGCAACATAAGCAATATCACAAACAATAAACAACATCACTATCAATAATACAATTACACTAAATCATTCGCGACGTCTCATCATTGAATCACAATCCAAATCTCGTTATCCATGTTCCGTTCCAATCGTCATTGCCAATTGTTGCAGCATTTACTCAAACGCCTTCTCAAACAACCACATCTTTAGTCTCTTGCGGAATGTCATAAGGGAGGGCGCCAGTCTGATGTCCACAGGGAGGGTGTTCCACAGCCGGGGGGCCACCACCGAGAAGGCCCTGTCCCTAGTCCCCGCCAGGCGTGCCTGTGAGGCAGGCGGGATCGAGAGAAGGGCCTCCCCGGACGATCTCAAAGTCCTCGTGGGCTCATAGGCCGAGATGCGGTCAGACAGGTATTTTGGGCCGGAACCGTTTAGGGCTTTGTAGGCCAACACCAGCACCTTGAATTGGGCCCGGTAGCAGATCGGCAGCCAGTGGAGCTGGTACAACAAGGGCGTTGTATGCTCCCTGCGTCCCGCTCCTGTTAGTAACATGGCTGCCGCGCGCTGGACTAGCTGGAGCTTCCGGGCCGTCTTCAAGGGCAGCCCCACGTAGAGAGCGTTGCAGTAGTCAAGGCGGGATGTGACCAGAGCGTGTACTACCGTGGCCAAGTCAGACTTCCCAAGGTACGGGCGCAGCTGGCGCACGAGCCTGAGCTGTGCAAATGCTCCCCTGGTCACCGCTGAGACCTGGGGATCCAGGCCTCAAAAAAATCCCAAATAAAATATCCCAAAAAAAACTACAACAACCCAGTGATTCCGGCCATATTATTATTTATTTATCGTGTCATCAGCAACCAGACCTTTGTATTATATTTCTTACAGAACAAAACAAACAGATAAAAAAACCCACAGATTTTGCAAACTTGGTAGTTGATTAAATGTCCTTTGACCTGTATCTGGCCACTTGGAGTGCCTCTGGTGTTGCCGCAAGAAGGTCCTCCATTGCATGTGGCAGGGCTCAGGTTGCATTGCAGCAGGTGGTCAGTGGTTTGCTCTTCTCTGCACTCGCATGTTGTGGATTCCACTTTGTGGCCCATTTCATAAGATTGGCTCTGCATCTCGTGGTGCCAGAGCGCAGTCTGTTCAGCGCCTTCCAAGTCTTCTGTGTGCCCAGGGGGGAGTCTCTCATCTGGTATCATCCATGGATTGAGGTGCTGGGTTTGGGCCTGCCACTTTTGGACTCTCGCTTGCTGGAGGTGTTCCAGCGAGTGTCTCTGTAGATCTAAGAAAACTATGTCTTGATTTAAGTCGTTGACGTGCTGGCTGATATCCAAACAGATGAGCTGGAGATGTCTCTGCCTTGGTCCTTTCACTATTGGCTGCTACTTCCTGGCGGATGTCAGGTGGTGCAATACCGGCTAAGCAGTGTAATTTCTCCATTGGTGTGGGGCACAGACACCCTGTGATAATGCGGCATGTCTCATTAAGAGCCACATCTACTGTTTTAGTGTGGTGAGATGTGTTCCACACTGGGCATGCGTACTCAGCAGCAGAGTAGCACAGCGCAAGGGCAGATGTCTTCACTGTGTCTGGTTGTGATCCCCAGGTTGTGCCAGTCAGCTTTCGTATGATATTGTTTCTAGCACCCACTTTTTGCTTGATGTTCAGGCAGTGCTTCTTGTAGGTCAGAGCACGGTCCAAGTGACTCCCAGGTATTTGGGTGTGCTGCAATGCTCCAGTGGGATTCCTTCCTAGGTAATCCTCAGAGCTCGGGATGCTTGTCTGTTCTTAAGGTGAAAGGCACATGTCTGTGTTTTAGATGGGTTGGGGATCAGTTGGTTTTCCCTGTAATAGGCAGTAAGAGCACCTAGAGCTTCAGAGAGCTTCTGTTCTACCATCTCAAAGCTCCCTGCTTGAGCAGTAATGGCACGATCATCAGCATAGATGAAACTCTCTGTCCCTTCTGGCAGTGGCTGGTCATTTGTGTAGATGTTGAACATGGATGGAGCAAGCACGCTCCCCTGAGGCAGGCCGTTTTTCTGTTTCCGCCATCTGCTTATATGATGATAATAAAGCTATACTAGGACTTCTTTCTATTTTAATATTCATTATATCTTCTATTTCTCTAAATATTTTCCCCCAAAAATTATTTATATATTTACATTGCCACCACCCCGAAAATTATTTACATACTTCCTAGTTCCTTTTTCCTAGTTCCAACAGACCTCACTACCTCTGAGGATGCTTGCCATAGATGCAGGTGAAACGTCAGGAGAGAATGCCTCTAGACCAGGGGTCCACAAACTTTTTAAACAGAGGGCCAGGTCACAGTCCCTCAAACTGTTGGAGGGCCGGATTATAATTTGAAAAAACATGAATGAATTCCTAGGCACACTGAACGTATTTTATTTGTAGTGCAAAAAACACTTAAATGCAATACAATAATTCAAATGAATAACAATTTTAACAAATATAAATTTATTAGTATTTCAATGGGAAGTGTGGGCCTGCTTTTGGCTGATGAGATAGGATTGTTGTTATTGTTGTGTGCTTTCAAGTTGTTACAAACTTAGATTGACCTTGAGCGAGGGCCGGGTAAATGATCTTGGAGGGCCATATCCGGCCCCCGGGCCTTAGTTTGAGGACCCCTGGGTTAAACCCTTGTGCTGGCAAGACTCGGTTTGAATCTGGGGAACGGACTGAGCTCCCATCTGCCAGCTCAAGCTTCATGACAGAACCTTCCCACAGGATGGCAAAACATCTGTGCATGCGCATGCGCAGCGAGGATGAGCGCGAGGAGGACGAGTCCCAGGGGGCGGGGCGAGGGTGACACCTCCATTCTGGGGAGGGGGAAGCGCGGCGCGCGAGAAGCCACCTGAGCCTTGTTGACGAAAGGCCGCCCCAGCAGAGGCGGCAGCGAATGGGCGGCGCGTTTGGTGACGACGTGAGCGCCCGCCAATGAACGGCCCGCTTATTGGCTTGCGGAGCCCTGGAAGCCGCACCCTGGCGCGGCGGCGTAGACGGGGCTCGCGCAGCAGAAGAGGCGCCTGACAGGGACCCTCRGGAGGCCRGCCGCCCACTCCCTCCCCGAGGGCCTTCCTGCCTGCCTGCCTGCCTGCCTGCCTGCCTGCTTGGGTGAGCAGCACTTGGGGCTTTTCGGGTGGGGGGACCGGGGAAGGGCGGTCGCCGTCCGACGTGTTGCTTTCCCTCAGGCGGAATGAGGGAGGGAGAGAGGGAGGGAGGGATATCCCCCGAGCCCCCCCCCCCCGCGTTTCCCTTCTGCCTGCCTCTGCAGGGGTGGGGGGCGCCTCCTCAAGGGTGTTCACATCTTGAGCGTTTGGCCTGCTTGCCCCCTTGACCGCCCGCCATGGCGCAGAACATCTCTTTTGTTGCTCAGGACTCTGCTCAAGATTCACACCCTGCAGGGAGTCCAGTATTTATTTCAAGTTGCTCACCAAGGGCCTTCACATTTGCACACACTCCTATTGCACTGCTTTTATCAGAATGGATCCATAGGGTTGTCAAATCGTTATGATGCGAATTGTCTCCTTTGTGGAGAGGAAAAACCGGGTATGAATAAACATCCTCATCATCATCCTACTTGGGTATGGAGCCAGAGTCTAACGTTGTTTACTGTTTTCATTAATGAATGAGACGGCTGGTGTTTCATTTCACTTACTCACGTTGTTCTGTTCAGCTTGTTATCGTCGCCTGACTACGTTTTTCAAATGGATTCTCAACGCATTTTTTCAGATAAGCAAGAGTGTAGAGTCATTTTTTTTGCAGGAGTATATGTCATTACGATCTCTTCGATGGTTCTGGGAATTATTTTGCTTTATTCTGTTTTTAATTGTTTGATTTGCTTAGATTGTATTGTTGTGTTGTGTGTTGAGGCCTCGGCCTGTGTAAGCCGCATCGAATCCTTCGGGAGATGCTAGCGGGGTACAAATAAAGTTTAATAATAATAATAAAATAATAATTCTCATTGAGAGTGAGCCCAGAAACATGGAAGGGATTGTTCCTTAAACAGTTTTAGAGCCCTGTCTATGGATATTTCTGTGAGTTTGGTCTTGTTCTGCTGCTGCAGCCCCTCTAGTTCATAGACGTTTATTGCTGTTTTAGCCTGTTGCAGCAAATGCTAAGTGGGTTGTGACACTTCCAAAAGTTGGATGGGATTTTACTGTGTCATGCGTCCGTCTGTCCCCTAGTTCCCCAAGACAAGAATCCCCTTCTTTCATTAGGGGCCTCCCCTTACTGTAGACATTTACCACCCTGGAGCCCCCGGTGGCACAGTGGGTTAAACCCCTGTGCCGGCAGGACTGAAGACCGACAGGTTGCAGGTTCGAATCCGGGGAGAGGCGGATGAGCCTACTCTATCGGCTCCAGCTCCTCACGCAGGGACATGAGAGAAGCCTCCCACAAGGATGATAAAAACATCAAATCATCCAGGCGTCCCCTGGGCAACGTCCCTGCAGACGGCCAATTCTCTCACACCAGAAGCGACTTGCAGTTTCTCAAGTCGCTCCTGACACGACAAATAAAAAATTAGGGGCCTCCCCTTACTCCGGACATCTACCACACTGGAGCCCCCAGTAGTGCAGTGGGTTAAACCCCGGTGCCAGCAGGACTGAAGACCGACAGGTTGCAGGTTCGAATCCAGGGAGAGGCAGGTGAGCTCCCTTATCAACTCCAGCTCCTCATTCAGGGACATGAGAGAAGCCTCCCACAAGGATGATAAAAACATCAAATCATCCGGGCATCCCCTGTGCAACGTCCCTGCAAACGGCCAATTCTCTCACACCAGAAGCGACTTGCAGTTTCTCAAGTCACTCCTGATACAACAAAAAAAAAAATCTACCACCCTGTTATTGATTGCATGCCACCCCTGAGATTGAGGTTTGAGTTCTGGGTTCAATCAAAGGCAGGCTCTCAAAATCTACATCAACTGGTTTGCATCCCAGCACTTGGGGTCCCTGGTGTCATACAGAGCCAAGAGCATGCTCAGCTGCTCACTGTTCACTTCCCTAGACTGTAGGGCACATATGGCAAAGGAAAGGCCCATGAGCTGAATCCGATCCACCGTGTCCACTGTATCATTTCATGTGGCCTGTGAGGTTATCAGTGCCAGGGAAACATAGTTACATTTAGATAGTCTTACAATTACAAACAGGCCTTTGAAAGCAACTATAAGACTGGTGTGGCCCTTGGTTAAAATGAGATTGACACACTTGTTTTAAGGATTCGTTCTTTGTTTTTGCCATTGTGGGATTCGTTGAGGACATTGAAGCCTTTTGAGGGTCTGCGGACCACAGATTAAGTAAACATTTCTGGCATAGAAGAAAGAATGGAATGTGTTGCAAACCAAAAATATCTTTCTGATGTTGACTATCTCTTTTGAAGCCAAAGTCCATTTTTAATAACATTGATAGACCATGTGGGGTCTGTGACAGAGTGGTGCTTTTATTTGTGTTAAGAAGGGAGACTGTCAGGACTGACTAATATAGAGGCCAGTGTTTTATATGTGCATTGTGGAGGACAACAGTAAAGTATTAGCAAGGGGCAGAATAATCAGCATTCCTTGGGACTGGGTAGAGTCCAATTTTATTTTTTGTTTTTAATCATGTATATATTCCTAAAAACAGGAGTGGCATAAATACTTTAAAGGCACCAGGTCCCATCTAATCTTGGAAGCTAAACAGGATCAGCTTTGGTTAAGACTTCTAGCCAGTCAATACTAGGTATTGTAGGCTCTATTTCAGAGGAAGGAAGTAGCAAACGATCTCTTGAGTACATTTTGCCTAATAAAACCATGGAAAATTTATGGTGTTGCCACAATTTAGCAGGTGACAGATACACATGCATACACATAAATATAAGTTGTCCAGACTGTCACACCACCTAATATTTTTGTTGCTTCTCTCCACCTGTTCTTGCTTTCTTCTGCTACACCTCTACCTCTTTCCACACCCACCACTGCTTGGCACAACCAGGATAATTGGTGGCTGCTCATTCTTCCCTTCTCAGGCTAAACAATCTCTCACTTGTTTTTTACAGGGTTTGGCTTCAGTCTTTTGAGTTATTAAACACCCCTAGTTTGGGGTCATATACAAATGTAATGAGCATGCCCACTAATCTGACCAAGATATTTCTAAAGATGTTTAGAAATATCTTGGTCAGGAGTGTCCCACTTCTCACTTTTCCACATGATAATTAGAAAGCATTTGGATCTGCTTTATAAGCCAGTTACAGATCTACCTATTAGAAAAGTTGTCTAGCTTAAATTTCCCCAGCTTGCGTGGAAGACTTACTACATGGGTGTTACTGAAATCAAGATATATAACATTCACATCATTCCCCTGCTCTACCAAGTTGTGACTCTTTCAAAAACACAGATGAAAACAAATAATACTAGACTAATCTTGGCAAGCTACTTCTTAGTAATTACAACATTCTTTCAAAGTGTTCACAGGGCAGTTTAATGATCAGTTCTAGTCAAGCTGACGGATTGGTGGTTTCCTTATTCCCTCCTTTGGGAAGATGGGATGTGACCTTTCTGCAGTCTGCAGGGGTCTCACCTGTTTTTCAAGTATTCTAAATGCATACAACAGGGGTCCTCAAACTCAAGTCCACGAGCCAGATGTTTCCCCCGAAGGTCATTTTCCTACCCTCTCCCCACCCTAAGCCTAGGGTTGCCCTAAGTCTGAAAGGCACCAACGAACAATAATCTTAATTGGCTACCTCATCAGCCAAAGGTGGGCCCATTGAAATAGTGGTAAGTTTATGTTGTTTAAAATTGTTCTTCACTTTAAATATTGTATTATTTCATTTTTTCACCACTAGAAATGATGTATGTGCAGTGTGCATAGGAGTTTGTTCATTCTTTTTTCAAACTATGGTCTGCTCCCCACCCCAACAGTTTGAGGGATCGTGAACCGACCCTCTGCTTAAAAGGTTTGAGAATCCCTGATATACACAGAGGCTTTAAGATTACAGTTGCAAGTTCATTTTGTACCCATGGATGCAGTTCATTTTGTCCTGGAGACTTGAATTCATTTGAAGTGTCAGTGTGTTCCTGTGCCATCTCTTCAGCTATTTGTTGCAGCCTCCCTCACTGCATCTGCTATTCTCTTTTCATCAGTTTAAGCACCTTCTTTTTCTCAGAAAACGAGGGCAAGACAGATTTTGAGCTGCTTGTTGTCACCAAATAGTGCTTGAACTGTTCCTTGGTAATTTGCCACTTTTTTGGTATCTTGCTTTTATATGTCATCCCATCTGAATACTGCTTCTCTAGAGTATATGTCCAACTTGGCTTTCTTTTTCATCTGTATAATGGAACCCAGGAGGGTGTGGTCACTTCCAATACATCCCTTGTGTTGATCAGCACTTTTTTGTTGTGGATAACTGGTCCAAGTTGGTCAACATACAATAAAACCCAGTAAAACCCAAGTCTGGGATATCTGAAGACTATATCTTCCCATGTGGGCATTTGTAACCTTTGAGGTATTTGGAAGAATCGTTTGTTGCAGTCCCATCACCATTACAGATATGTTTAAATTGTAAGTGGGGAGGGCTTTCTCGGGGCCTTTCCACACATCCATATAACCCAGAACATAAAGTCAGAAAATCTCACAATATCTGCTTTGAACTGGGTTTTCCGAGTCCACACTACCATATATTCCAGTTCAGAGCAGATAATGTGGGATTTTATTCAGCTGTGTGGAAGGGGCCCCTGTGACTGTTCTCGGGTTTTGGAAGTCTCCCTCTTGAGAAGCTAGAATTGATCCTTCCTTGATGTCCTCTACTGCCAAGTGAAAATCTTCTGTACCAACAGGCTTTTAGGAACTTACCACAAAGGCTCCTAGAAGTGTACTGGTTTGCTAATTATTGCCTTTTAGTAGATTTAATATGTTTCTATATACATTTTAAATGCATTTAAATAATAACACATATGTTTTAATTATGTTTCCTTTGTGTTTCTTACTTATTTTGGTAAACTGCCTTTTGTCTCAGTTTTGGGGAAAAGGCAAAACATAATGAGTAAAAAACAAAAACTATGATAGGCTGCCTTTCATGATCCAACAAGTTATGGATGGAATAACCCTGCACAATGTAAATGTTATGGAATATGGCAGAAA